TTTGTTTTCTCGTTTCAACTTTATTTTTGATATTTTAGATCAAATCTAAACTTCATTCTGTATTTGAGAAAAACTTTTTTCCTCGACCTATAATATCAATAACATTTAGAAAGCTTTACCCAAGAAAACTGAATCTAAACATTGTTAATTTACTCTGGAAACAATATTTAAACTTTTTCTTAACCGTGAAATTTGATTCTGGAAAACAATCATTAGAATTTTATTAGCAACGTTTCAACTTAAATCTAAATATTTTAAACTTTTTTTCTATAAATTGTGTTTTGAGTTTTCTTTCCTCAACCTTTAAACTATTTTCTGTAGATAATATTTATGGTGTTTACTCAACATTTTAACTCACTTCAACAGTAATACTTTGTTCTTGGAATACTATTTTGACCTTTTATTCTTGACATTTTAACTTATCAACTTTATCATGTATTTCCTCTAAGTGACCCTAAAATGCTGTCTTTCATTTATTTGGCTGGAATTCCCCCAAAAGTAATATTGTTTATTTTCTCTGGGTTGAATCAGCTTCTCTGGTGCATTTTTGGCCTAATTTTCTTTTTATTTATTTATTTTATAAATTTACTAAACACCTAAAAAATGTTTTTTCCATGCAGTTTTTTTAAAGCCACAGTTTGACATGAATTTCTTACACATTTAAATAAATGCAACTTTTAACATTTAAAGCCACATTTCAGACACCACTCCAATCAGTTTTGATTTTCTTTTGTTCCAGCTAAAGTTTTTAATATTTCCTACTCTTTTATTTTATTTTTTTGGCTTTTAAATAAAAGGTACCACATTACTCTGAATATTGTCAAATCCATTTTAATTTGCAAAATGAGGCCTGAGCTGAGCCGTGTGTTTATGTGTGACCGAGCTGTTCCGAGGCATGACGTGGTAGCCACACACACACACACACACACACACACACACACACACTCCCCAACAACCTGCTAATTAACACCCCATGTTAATCACTCTCAACCCAGCCAATAACCGGTGACATGCCATCATCCAGATCACTTCATCGTGCCCCGGCGCGGCGGCACTCCCCTCCCGCCTCACTGCGATGTTTTACAGACGTCTCAGTAGGTATTTTGACTCACTGAGGAAGGAAACAGAGGTCTGTTTTTGCTTGAAGAATAAGTTATTTAGCTAGAACTCAACCTCTGACAGGGAAATACGCCCTCACCGCCTTTCCTGTGCCTGCAGACCGTCTGTAGCTTTAAATCGATTCTGCACATACATTTTTATTACCACACAGAGTGTCACATGCATTAGGTCCAATCCATTATCCTGATCCCACTTTGCATAGGCTGATTTAACGGCATGTTGGCTAAATATCTGCAGTGAATCTGCCTTTGTGGCAGAAATAATGATTTTTGATGGAAGTGAAGCTGATTTGCCTAAGCTACCAGGTAATTAAATGAACTTAATCATTTGTATTACCTGAATTATTTTACCAGTTTCATTTTAGGGGATGGCATCTGTGTCTTGAGCGCCACTGTTGTTCACGGCAGCAACAATCCAGTCTGAAACCTGTGACAATACTGACCTCTGGTGTCAGCCCAGCCCGTTGGCTGCTCTCGGTAAAATGTGACATGTTACCAGGCTCATTGGTAGTCCTATTTAAGATAATGAATCCGCTTTGGACAAACCGCCTAGTTTTGAGCTTTAGCCTCCAAACGCCTGCAGCAGGGATTGTCTGGGATAGGGCAGAGGTAGATTAGGAGTCGGTGTAATGAGAGGCAAAGCGTCTTTTTACTGCACCTTTTGTCTTTGCCTCCTTCAAGCCTTGGAGGAGAAGGAGAGATACTCCTCTGGCCAGTGGCTGCTGCACAGACTTTATTTTTCATCAGCATCTTTTCCCCATTTTTACCAGCTGCTTCCTCCTTTTCTGTCTTTATCTAATTTTCCTCTCCTTCTTTCTCCACATCTTCACCCTCCCTGACACTTAGTCATGCCAAAGCAGCCTCTCGTCCTCGACGGGATTGTCAGATCTTCTAGAATATGGGGTTAGACAGACACTTGCCAGGCACACTGGTGCGGGGCGCATGGGTAATAAGCCTAATAGGGTCGAGCCTGCATTTAATAAACAATTACCCATCTATAATAAATGAGTCTATCTCCTGGAGCCCAGCACCTGGTTTGAGTCGGGGAAACCAGAGAGCGGGTGAGAGAGAGGTAAGGTGGATGAATAATGCAAACGAGACACCAATTATCGTCCCAGCGCCCAATTCTGACATCATCATCCGCACAACAAGAAGAAAGTAAAGTCCAAAACGAAATCCTGATTTATTTTGTCTTATTGCATTTTCAAGTAGTACCTGTTGGCAGCATGGTAGGAGTGCCGTGGTGATGAATTACGCATCAGTCATGGACGTCTCTTCAGCAGCGTCCCATCGAGTCCAAGGTTATCCAAATTACACAAGGTTAAAGTGGTGGCGGTGCAGGGCGAGGGAGGGGGGTGGTGACAGTCGGGCCCCATTAGCATACGGCCCCTGACAGAGCAAGGGAATTATGGGTAGCGCAGAGATATGATATCCAAGCAAAATGGCCCCTGCTCTCTGCGGGGTAAGATAGACAGGAAATAGAGACGTTTGGTGCCCCTGAAGATCGGGGGGAAGGACCTGTGCTGCTCCAGTCAAGTGAATTGGATAAGGCCCCGGTAGACGACTTCCATTTAGGGAGAAATACACATCCGTTTTGTGCTCCTTAGGGCCAAAGTCTGGGGTAATAATGGGATCAGAGCCATGACCCTCTCAGGACACCGTATGCTATATTCTAGTTTCCTCCGCACTTTTCTCTGCTCTGAAATCCATTTGTTTTACGTTTATGTATCTCAACAAGTGACTGGCCAAACACCTTCCAATCAAAGCTCTGTTTCTCTTGCACCTAACCTTCTAAAGTCTTGAGAGTATCTTCAAATCCACATATGCTGTTCTTTATGCTCGTGAGGACGTCGTAAGCCCATAACACGCTTACTTTTCACCGTTTAATCCCAAGTGGAAGAAACAGCAGAGATCACATTAACGTGTAGGATTTGGAATCCCACCACCTCCTTGATATGGCTCCAGCATCTCATCTGCTTTTACATAATAATAATCAAGCTGTATTAAAGCTGCATATGGCTCTTTATTCTGGGCAGATTTACATTTTCCTAATGATGTGCTTTGGTCCTCCCCCCTTCCCTTTCTCCTCCGCTATCCCGTTGTCCTTCCCTTCACCTCCAGCCCACAGCCCAGTCTGATTTAAAATGCATACAACTGCACTGCTGTTTTACTGTGGAGGAACACAAAGCTCAAACCGAGACACCTTCGCTCGCCTCCAGCTCCCATCTGTTGCACATCTGGAAGTGGTGTGCGGCACCAATAATTGGAAGTCAATTTGTTTGAAGTTATGTTTTTGGCATCTGGTTGGATTCATAAAAACTCTGGAAATGGCATTAATTTTATGACATCTTTCTTGTTTCTCTTGCGTTCCATTGTTAATGCACGCGGGGGCCTTGCCGGGTGAGTGACGTGGGAGTATTTTAAGAGCCGGCCGGGGTGTGGTCCTTAATAAAAGCAGCCATTGAGGCTGGTGCCCCCCAAAGAATCATGGAACAGATTACCGTCGCGCCACCAGGAAGGAAAATATTGATAAGTTCCCGAAGCGCTAAATGTTAATGCTTAGAACTTTTGGTTAAGTTTCACCACCTCACCTTTATCTTTGACCGCAGCGTCAGATCATTTCTTATTTTTCCCGAAGGGAAAGCTCTTCCCGGGCCCTAGTTTGCCACATTTCCAGAAGTCGGGCTGACTGATTGAGAAGCAGCGTGGTGTTGTTTGTCACACAGCTCTGAGTCACAGCTGAAAATAGATATGACACTTGATGTTTGGTGCCTCTCTGCCGGCTGTCATATTGTTATTCCCACTCAAATTTCACCTAATTTGTGCACAAGTCTTGTCACAGTCCAGATCCTGATAAGGGCTTTTAGGTGGTTATTTTTTTCTTCCCCCCCCCCCCCCCATCCCTCTTCACCATCTTCCTCATAAATGTGGCAACAGAGTGCAATGAGACACAAACCCGTGCGTGCATGGATGTGTTTCGGTTTCTGCTTGCGTGTGCACATTTTTGTGTTTGCACACAAGCACATTTGATTGGGCTTGTTTGTGTTGGTGAATGTAGGGCAACTGTGTGTGTGTGTGTGTGTGTGTGTGTGTGTGTGTGTGTGTGTGTGTGTGTGTGTGTGTGTGTGTGTGTGTGTGTGTGTGTGTGTGTGTGTGTGTGTGTGTGTGTGTGTGTGTTTTCTAAAGTGAGTCTCCTCAGTGGGAGGTGATTAAGAGTTTCCGATGGCAGGCTCGACAGGCGAGTGCATTGTAGCATGCTGGCAGCTGTGGCATTTGCACAGGTGACAGCTTCGCCTGCTCAGTGGTGGTGTCAGTGTTGGTGGGTGGCAGGAGGTCTGACAACGTTGTTTTGGTGACAGAACGACTCTGCTGTGAGGTTCACGACATCACTTGCCTCCTTTAGATTTGTCAGTTTATGCTGGGAGGTATTGTATCGTGAACTTTAGCTTATGAAGTACTGCCGAGGTTACAGTGCGAGTTCTAAACACTGGAAAACGTGACCTGGATTACAATTTATGTAAAAAGCTTTTAAAAAGAAAAATACGCATTTTAGGAGGAATCTTAAAATAGGGTTTCCTTTGCCACAGTCCTGCTTTTTTTTAAACTACATTAGAGGATTAAACACAGCTCATTACTGCCACCTACTGCTGGAATGCAGAAACAGCAGCAGCCTTTTTTATTTCCCTCAACAAAACTTTTTTTTTTTAAAAAGCCTCTTTCTGGAAAGACGGCCTTTATAAAAGCAGTAGAAAAAGTGAGAAACAGGCTTGTGTGGCTGCAAATGTCCCCAAATGACCCTTTTCTTTCAAACTTATCAGATAAATTCTGAATTTTATTTTAGTTTTTTAATCTTGTGCAACAACAACACTTCCTGTGACTTCCCGATCCTCGGTGAGCTGTGATGTTCCAAATAAAAAAGCATCTGGTTCTGATGTCACTGTTGCATCAACCCACCACATTTACGTTTGAAATCTGCAAATGGGCTTTGAATTTTGCTGCTGGCGGCTTTGATAGAGAGGAAAAACAGACAGTTAGAAAGTTTACAGTGACTTTTCTGTTTGTTGCATAAGCCTCATCTCTAAACAGTGCAACGTCAGTATGTGTGATTATCTTTTGCTTTATTTGCATAGTTTCCCTCATTTTCTAGTGTGAAGGATTTTTAGTAAGTAGTCAAAGTAATCCCTGCTGAAGTCCTTTAGCCTACTAATGTTTAGCTTTATTATTATTATAAGTCAAAAATAAATGTATTGTGTTTATTTTAAAAGTGCTGGATCAAAGGCTTTGGACAAAATAACAAAAAATTAATTAATATTAAACCTTTAGAAATAAACACATGTACAAGCTTACCAGAATTACTTTTTCCAATTGCACATAAACGTCACAGGCTTCTTTCTAAATGTGCAATACAAAGTTTGATTATTTTAGTCTGTTATTGTTTTCAGACTTAAAGAGAAAGATGCAACTGTTCCGGTTGTGTTTTGAGACGCCAGTGATATCAGACCTTCAGCTAACGTCATCAGCCTTAAACCCAGAGAATGACCACTCTTCTCCAGAAGAGAGGCTCTCATCTCCACATCTTTCAGGAAACTTTCTTGGCTGGCTGCTAATAGCTCCTTGTCTGTCACCATTATTCATCCTCAAGGGCTCGTCAACTCACAGCAGACTCATCCGAATTATCACTCCTCCTCTACTTGTCTTTATTATCCAATTTCCCTCCTCTCTCTCTCTTCCGCTCTACCACTCGTTTCCAATCAGCCACCTTGTAAGCCAGCCCTTCACCTTCCGTCACCGAAGGAGCGTCTTCGATTTGAATGCCTTCAGGTTTGGTCTTGCACTTCTCGTTTGCACGCGTCTTCCAAGAATAAAAGAAAGATCTTATTTTTTGGTTCATACGCGTATATTTTTTAAGAATACATGAGTTAAAACATAAATACAAACAATCTTTTAAAAAAACATGAAAAAGGCACAACGTTAAGCTCTGATGTGAGTACATTTGTTACAGGTTCTCCTTTTAAAACAATGAAAAGCTTAAATAAGGCCGCTCATACAGTGCATACGTCTGGCCAGGATCCTCATGTAAAGCATAGGTCTTATAAAAGTACAGTTTTAGAAATGTTTTTGCATATTTTACAGTGTAAAGCCACCACAGCAGGTATTTTCCTGTACACTATGTACTGGTGATTGTCTCCCTTTTTTTTGGTACAAGTCTTTTGTGATTGTCTGGAGTACAGCTGAAGGAGCGGGGCAGTGAGTTTTTTTTTAAACAAAGGGCACTTTTAGAGATACAGAAAAGTTTTCCAGCTGATTTAATCTACTTTCCAGACTGGAAGGGGTCACAGACGCATCCCTCTCCATCAGTCCGTCTTGTCGATGTTCTATGCTCCTCCTCCTTTACGGTGACTCTGCAGTCCTATAGGTCGTCGCCCTCCGCTGAGCTGAAGCTGCTCCTGCGGCTGCTGTCTTTGGACGCAGCTCCTGGGGAGCTGGCCGAGAGCAGCGGGTCAGTGCCAAACGGCGAGAGCGGGTCATCCAGCAGGATCTCATCCAGCTGGTTCTCCTCCTTGAGCGTGGCTGTGAAGAAGTCTGTGAAATGGGAGAGTGGGTCGGAGAACGTTGTGCAGGCGTCCGCCCCTTGGATGTGATCGTGTGGCCCGCTGGCAGCGGCGATGGACGGCACACCGGTCGCCACAGCTATCCTCTGGAGGTAGTCGCTGTTAGGGTCCTCCTGGTAGAGGGGTGGCTGCTGTGACTGCTGCTGCACTTGGGGTGGAGATTGCTGCTGCTGCTGTTTGAGGAGTTGGGAAGATAACTCCACTGTCCCCAAGGTAGCCGCCATGTTTGGGAGTCCATGCGCCCGTGCCTGGATCTCCAGCTCCTGGATGACGAGTGAAATCAAACAGGAGTTAAGATGTTATCTAAGGGAGTGACGCCAAGACAACCACACCACATCTTTTTCCTCCCATCTCCTCCTCATACTGAGGTCAAGTCAGGATGTCTAAGTGTTGCAGAGCAATCCCCTCCCACACACGCATCATAGCATTTCCAACTAAGTCATAGAGTCAAGTCACCACAAGTCTGTGTTTGACTACTGTCAGCTTTTGCTGGTTTTGAGTTTTGTCTAACTAAGTTTTTCCTATCCTGCAGATGCAAACCCATGGTTCACAAAACACACGTTCCATGTTGCAGAGTCTGTTGTTTGTTGTTAATGAGACCAGATGTCAGAAGAAGCGAGGGAGACGGAAACACCTGACGTGTTTTTGTTAAGTTTGATGTAATGAAAGTTATCGAGCAACTCAGTTTCCTGAGAAATGAGACATTGCAGGAGCAGGAATGTCTGACCTCAGACAGCGAGAGAGTGAGTCAGAGTTTGTGAGTACACAGATGTACGAGCATGGGACACCATCAGAGAGAGGTGCGTCTTGGACCAGAACATGATTGTACGAGTGAACCTCGAAAAGACAGAATATCGTGCAGAAGTTGGTTTGTTTCTGTGAGAGCACAAGGGGCCCAAACCGAATACTGAGTCAGAAAGCTGATATTTCTCTATTTAAAATCTTGTTTTATTGATTTCTTGTAATATTCTAATTGTCTTAGATTTAGAATTTGGGGTTTTCATAAGCTGTAAGCCACAATCACCACAAGTATAACAAATAAAGGGTGGAATATCTGGCTTTGCATGGAATGAGTATCTCATGTAATATTTTACCTACATGCAGAATGTTTCAGTTATTAAAGGTGTTCCCTTAAATCTAGGGGTGACGGTGGAGCAGGAGTTAAGTGCTCGCCCCGTGATTGGAAGGTTGCAGGTTCGAATCGTTGTGTCCTTGGGCCACACACTTAACCCTCCTTGCCTGCCGGTGGTGGTCAGAGGGTCTGGTGGCGCCAACGCTCGGCAGCCTCGCCTCTGTCAGTGCGCAGCAGGGCAGCTGTGACTACATCGTAGCTCATCCCCACCAGCGTGTGAATGTGTGTGTGAATGGGTGAATGACTGATTGTGTTGTGAAGTGCCTTGGGGGGTTCCAGGACTCCCAGAACAGTGGTTCCTAACCTGGGGGTCCCGACCCCCACAAGGGGGCGCCAAAGCCTCTCAGGGGGTCGCCAGGACCTCTCCACTTTAAGGGGTTAAAACTTCATTTATTACTTGTTTATAGCCTACATTTTGCTCACTTTTTTTTCATGAGTGAAAAGTTTACTGATTTTAAGACAGGAAATAATTAGTACAGAAAAAGTAACACACTTTTAAGAACATTTTGCTCAGCTCACTGTTTTATTTTGAAGTGTCAAAAGTTCATTAAAGATAGGACTGGTTGATTAATCACAGCCTTTACAGTAAATAATCTGGTATAAACAGTAATATACACATTTAAGTACATTTTGCTCAGTGTATTTTTTATGTGTCAAACGTTTATTGAAAGGAATGATTGATTTATCAGTGTTTACAAGAAACTATTGTTCAGAAAAGTAACACAAACTGTCAAGCACATTGTGCTCTGTTTGGTTTTGTTAATGACTTTGTTCTGTACTGGAGCCTACTATTACTGTTATCTATTGAATCAAAGCATATTAAAATGTGCTTGAACAATTTGATCATTTCTTAATAATGTTTGTACTGGAAGAGAGAATGGGAGGGGGTCGTCAAAAAAATTACTGGTAAAAAAATGGGGTCCCTTGGGAAAAAGGTTGGGAACCACTGCTAACATCACAGTTTTAGACTTCCCTCAGAAATGTTTTCTAAGTTTCCTGAAGAGAAATTGTTATTTTTTTCCTTCAACCATGTGCTTTTTGGGTGCATTTACTCCCAAAATACAATGAACACATGAAATCAGAGTAACCGATTTACCTGGATCCTCAGCAGCAGCCTTCTGTTGGCTTGCTCCAGCTTCTTCTGACGGCCCTCCAGCTCCCGAGCGTGTTGCTGCTCCTTCTGCAGCCACCTGATGTACTCCACAGAGGCCTTCAGGATGGTGCCTTTGTTCCACCTCATGTCACTACAGAGAGAGGAAATGTAAGGGGTAACCTTTTTACACAGAACCTCCTGATGTCGGCAGAATATCCTTTGCAATTAAAAGAAAAAAGAAAAAATGGGGAAAAGTTTTAACAGGAGGAGTTTTTTTCACCCCTTTTTATAATATGAATAAGAAATGGAGACTTACGCGAGGCAATTATTCATCCTTGGACATTACACGAGGACACAGAATGGGAATTTTAATAGAATAGTTAAGAAGGTATGTGGAAAGTCCATTCTTGTACCTCCTTGTTCGCTAAAATTAATCCTCGAGTAAAAATAGGTGAGGGAAAATGAGCTAAGCAGGAAGGCAAGAAGAAAAATGGAGCGTCGGACTTAAGGTGCTAGAGTGCAAGTCATTCTTTTGCAGGTATTATTGCTTTTTTTTTATTAAAGGACAAGGAAGCTCGGTAAAATTGTCCTTTTCCACAAAAGTGAGACATTGGTCTGATCAGCGTTAATAATCTCTTTTATCCTTTGTTAATAGCACAGTGACAATTCCAACCTCCCATTTATATTTGAAGCAGAGTTCAACTGCGACTGGATGGCCGTTGTTCTGCTTTCCATCTGTAGGTTCAAATTGAGCTTCAAACTTCGATTTGAATAACGTGCCCCGCTTCTTTACATTTGACCCCCTTCCCCGATGCTCCAGTGTGAGCTCCCTAGACCCGCTGAGGCGACGTACATCTTAAAGAGTGTATACCGCAGCAGAAGCTCAAGTACACCCTTGAAGAATGACTGGAATGTGCTTCAGCACTCATTTGATTTGTGCTGTGCTGTGAATTTAACACATTTAACGTTAATTCTGATGCCATACTGCAACTTACGGGTCGTTCGACTTGGGTATTAGAGTGCCCAGCTCCTTAATCCTGTAGTTAATGTTGTATCTCCGCCTTCTTTCAACTAAGCAAACCATGAGAAACAAAAAAAAAGGAGATAAAAGCATTGTTAGTTGATGTGTTTAGCAATAGCCACAACTAACACTTGGATAATAAGTAACGCATCAGTGAGGGACACTTACTCAGATTATGGTTGTCCTTTTTCTGCCTCTCTTTGGCCATCACCCTGGTGTCGTGCTCTGTCAGACAAAAAAAAACATAAATGGATTAGCTACGCACACAGATATAGAAGCTGAAAGACAACACACCCCAACAGAAAGCCCAGTCAGTAGACACAATCGCCTGTTTTGAGGACGGGGTCAGAATGTGTGTTAGCCAATGCTGCACACTCAAGTTTGACCATTCACACACACACACACACACACACACACACACACACACACACACTGAGCTCCACTTGTGCCCTCAGGCATGTCTGAAGCTCATTGTAAAGTAAAATAGAGAATAAATGATTGCAACCACTTTTAGACAACTTAATCTGCAATTAGGATGGTTTAGAAAATTCCCCAATGTGTCCGGGAGAGGGACAGAAATGCCACTGCACCCACATTTGTGCTCACATTCCTCCTAATTACACTATTAGGAGCCTGAGATTGGATTTCCCAATTTGCCTGTTGATTCAATCAAGATATTTTCAAGTCTGTGTAATGTCCCATTGTCCTCTCAGTCCACCGTCAAATAAAACACTTTGTAATTTACTGACTTGCCTGTTGAGTGTGAAGGATTCTCCCGCCACCCTTTCTATTTCCTAAACGAATTAGTTTTTTTTTTATTTGATGACTGAGGGTATTGAGAAATGCCTAAATTCTGTCCTCCTTTGCACCAAAACACGCTTCTGCAGCTAATTCAAACTCGGTGACATGTGTCAAGTAGCGGACAGAAATAAGCCTGACACATTTAACTGGATGGTTTGCCAGCCAGTTGCCATTTTTAGCCAACATTGGTACTTTTTCTGCTTCTATCAAAGACTCAACTCATAACGAACCCTTGTTTTTTGTAGAAATCCCAAATAACTGATTTAATTCTCACTGCTGATTGTTTAAGTCAGTACCGTGGTATGAGTCCATACCTGTGTATTCCCTTTTAACAGGGAGCTTTGTGGGGTTATCTGTGGGACTCATTCCACCATTAGGGGGGTTCATACCTTGTTCACCCCCATAGACGTCCAGCATGCTGCTACTGAGGGAGACCTGTGGGCGTTAGGAAAAGGAGGACAAACAGATCAGTCAAGTGGAAGCGCCTTTCAGACTAAAACAAAATGCAATGGACAAATAGTTGTTTTTAGTTGCTTTATAGGTTTTTGTTTAACATCGGCAGAAACTAAATGAGAGCGAGGTGATCAGAAAGGCTCGTCAGCCTTAGGGCCTCTGATGCTGGACTCCCCAGCAGGGGGGTACTGCAGATCCTCATCTTGTCACAGCAGGACAGAACAAACCCTGTTCTGTGACCCATAATGTGACTGGTTGTTTGTCTTACAGGACAAAGAGTAAAATAATTCAAGACAAATGTATCCAAGCTTCACCAAGGGGCGACTCTACCAGATGTCAGCCCTCAAGTCACCAAAGGCACCCATCTCCAAAGGCCTCTCATTGATAACTGATGAGCTCTTGTGTTAAAAGTAGCATCCCATTAGATGAAAAGGCTAGCTGGGTCAACTCCTGGAACAGAGGCAAATCTGTTTCCTACGGGCCTCTTATCCGATGTAAGCGCACGCTTGACTTCTGCAATAATGATGCCTTTTCATAAAGCGGAGTCGAAACAGCACGCTGTCACACATGTGTGCCTAATTCACATTTGTGTTTATATGGGGGATAGAATCAGAAAGAAGTCGCCGGGATTCCAAGAAAGGCACAGTCCGTTCTATCTGCGACACGCGTGTCAGATGATTCGACATGGTTTTCCTCGTCAATACTAGAGAATTTACTGGAGGAGGACGAGGGGACACAGATGAATATGAAAAAGAAAGATTGCAACAATTCCCCTCCCTACTGTAATCACTCCGATCCCTCTATCCCGTATGTGTTCCTGGGTGTGTTGACAAGGCGAAGCAAAGTGATGCATCGTACTGTATGACTAATTAGGATGAATTGATCCAGTTAAGCATGGTATCATTTCTGAACAAGTCCATAGGGAGTATACACATTAGCCCAATCCCATGGCTCAGTAACCCCCCCCCCCCCCCCCCCCCCCGGACAGCTTTCCTTTGTTTTGTCTGCTCTGGAAAACCTATTGACTCTTCTTTTACTTTCCTCCTCTGTTGCTTATCTTTACCTCCTCTGCATTCCTTTTAATTTGTTCCAACCTAACTCTGTCATTGTGTTTGAGTCTTTGTATGGATCTGTTTGTGTCAACGGCCAAATCAAAATGAGGAATACCCATCAAACAAACTCTTCGTGTCCTGAAAGCGTCGTCAAGACCCCTCACCATCCTTTATTGGACAAAAACGTAATCTTCTTTGCTCGTTTTTTTTGGTGATTTAGTGTCGCTAAGCCCACGTGAACTTTGACTCCTCTCATCCTCAGCTGACCTGAAAGTAAGCCACGGATCCTTCCCCGTTCCAAACTAATCTGGCTTGCTTGGTTTACATAAAAGGAGAGGTGATTAGCAAACTAATGTGACATAAACCTAAAACAACTGTTTGGATCACCAAACAAATGGGGTCATTCAATACAAAACACAGTGGAGGGAAGATTCAATGGGATTCATACTTACGTTGTTTTGCATTATGAGGTTAGGCTCCATGCAATCCAAACCCCCATCATTGAAGCCGGATTCAAGACTAATTAGGTCATCGATAACTTCATCCATTGGAAACTAAAAGCAAACAGTATTTTTTTGTACATGGTCCACGACTTTAGCAATCAGAACGTTGGAACCTCAACAGCCTTAGAAAGAGATGAATCCAGCAATAGAAACCCATGTTTGGAGGTTCGTTATCAGTGTTGGTGCAAAAATCAAACTAGTTTCCTCCTTTGAAAGAGTTCTCTCATCAGACTGCATGTCTGAGGTTATTGATGAGAACATCAGAGAGAGGAGAGGAGCACAACTTTGTTTAGATGATTAGTTATACCCCGCATTAAGGTTCAAAGGCAGCGCAGATATAAATCTAGCCCTTGATGCTTCTCTTCATGATAACTATTCCTCCAAACAAAGTGCCAGTCGTGACTTATCAGACTCAATTTGGAAGAGTTTAAAAGTACAGCACATCTCTTACATCACCACAAAAGATAATTTGACAGGAACTTGGGCGACTGACAAGAAATGTTTCAAGGACATTATGAAATCTTCAAAAGTTCTGACCCATTGCTCAATGGCACGTCAGCCAGGCTGTGGCTGAAGGTTTTTGTTGCGATTTGACTCTTTCCAGGCACATGTTGGGTATTTCTGTCAGTTTCAGTTCCACGTGTGGGTGACTGGATTCTGTTTTCACTCACCTCGCTGTCGTGATTGGCCATCGTGAGCAGCGTGACGGGGCTGTTGGGGTTGCTGCCATCACTGACGGGGGGCATGTGTCCATTCCTCATGATTGGCACAGTTGCTAGTGGCTGGCCGGTGGTGTGTGGATGTGGCACAGTGTGACCCGGTCCGGCCGAGGAGGCCAGCTTGGAGCCCAGCGTCAGGTACTGCTTCACTGGCTGATTCTGGCTCTGATGGAGATGGAACTTGGAGTTATCTAAGTGGTTTTGTACCTGTAAAAAACAGCAAAATACCACAAATCACATTCTAATCGACTAGATATAAAAATTAAATCAAGATTAGGACAACTGTGCATTGTTGTTCATGTGCTGAGACGGCCTTGACTGAGTCATTTTTCACTGACGCAGCAACCACCTACTGTCAGGTACTTCCTGACCAAACCAACGCTGCCGTCTCACGTCTTTCTTTCATTTTCTGACTGAGAACACTTTCAGAAAGTGGTCCTGATGAAAATATCTTTCTCAAACTTCAGCATTTTCTAAACAGACAGTAACAAATTGTTTCAATCTTCTTACTTTTGAAGCTCTGGTTGCATCCCTCATTTTGTAGTAGCTGCAGTCACTTAAATGAGGCATTCTTAGAAAAGCAAGTAATCTTCAGATTGGTTCGTTCAGGTCAGCTTTAGGATCCAGCTCCGCTGCTGCTGCTGTCCTGTTAGGCTGCTGACTTCTCTGTGACCGTCTGTCTCTTCCAGTCCCCTACCAGTGTTTTATTCAGGGCCCTGAGTGAGCTAATTAGCCCCACAGCTGGGTGTAAGCCTTTATGTTGCGTAGCATGATAATCACTTCAAATGCTAGACTGTTAGATCATTCAGGGTTTGATCACTGCAGGATTTCTGCCTTTAGCGTCTGTCACTAATTCATCTGGACCGCCCTTCTCTGTCCGGCTGACCAATCATCGATCAATTCCCAAAGTCCTCTGCTGTCTGCTTCAGGGGTTGTGGCAGCACAATTGACCCTTGTTTGTCAGGGAGGGTTTTAAATAACTCCTCTAATGCCATTTCAACTAAATCTTTTCATTCATTCACTGATTTAAATGTAGCTAGCATGTGTAGTTTCTCATACAACAAATGCTATTTTGAAGTCTTTGTTACAGGACAAGGAATTCAATCTACATGAATATTTAATCATAAAAACCTGTATTGTTGCTTGGTCAGTTTTTGGATGGTACTTAAATATAATTTTGGAAAAGATTTTCCAAAGTTAGTTTCTGTTTTTCAGCCTCCTGCACAGATTTCATTTACTTCCTCTCAGATGGAACAGGAAGCTCTGATTGGCAGATTATTTATTTTAAAGTGACAGTTCAAATCTTTTCTAGTGTGTTTTTAGATAGCTCACTGAACAGCCTCAGTTTGTAGAAACAGATATAAGTTCTAAATGGACACATACGGCTAGTTTGACTTGGGCCAATTACAAAGTATTTTTTTACTCCAAACTTTATTTTAAACAATAAAATTTCACAATACAGGATTATCCTATATATTAGCTTCTCGCTGGAGTTTTATAACAATTCTGTAAAAATGTGGAATTGCCTGAACTGCTATGGCATTTTTGAGACTGGAGCGGATTTATGTAGCAGCCACAAAGGCTAGTTGTTAGTTTGTTAAATTGCCAACCTTTTTCAAGAATCATCTGCAACAGGTAAGATATTTATTGCTCCTAACTTTTTCCAAAAAAACTCACTTCAGATGTTCATTTCACTTTAACTGACTAGAGAAGTGAAACTCGATGTGAAATAAAATAGATGATTCTCATTTCACCTTTTCTGATTTTCTAGGTGACACACGTTAGACACCTCATTTCTCACAGAAAAAAAACAAACAACACAAAACTTTTGATTAACTTGAGCTAATTTTTGTCCTCTATTCAATTCCCACCTCCGACAGAACTTCCAAAATGTTCCGGGGGAGGCGGGGGACATTGAGTCTGAATGGGCCCTGTTCCGTGCCTCCATTGTTGAGGAGGCCGACTGCAGCTGTGGTCGCAGGATCGTAGGTGCCTGTCGTGGTGGCAACCCCTGAACCCGCTGGTGGACAGCGGCGGTTAGGGATGCTGTCAAGATGAAGAAAGAGTCCTATCAGGACTCCAGAGGCAGCTGACGGGTACCGGCAGTCCAAGCGGAACGCGGCTCGGGTGGTCGCCAAGGCAAAAACCTGGGCATGGGAGGAGTTCAGTGAGACCATGGAGCAAGACTTCCATACGGCTTCGAGGAGATTCTGGTCCACCATCCGGCACCTCAGGGGTGGAAAGCAGTACACTACCAACACTATCTATAGTGGGGACGGTGTGCTGATGACCTCTACTCAGGATGTTGTGGATCAGTGGGCAGAATACTTCGAAGACCTCCTCAAGCCCACCGACACGTCTTCCAGTGAGAAAGCAGAGTCCGGGGACTTTGAGTTGGGCTCTCAAATTTCTGGTGCTGAGGTCACTGAGGTGGTTAAAAAGCTCCTCTGTGGCAAGGCTCCAGGGGTGGATGAGATCTGCCCGGAGTTCCTTGAGGTTCTGGATGTTGTGGGGCTGTGTTGGCTGACGCGGCTCTGCAATATCATGTGGACATTGGGGCCAGTCCCACTGTACTGGCAGACCGGGGTGGTGGTTCCATTATTTAAAAAGGGGGGCCGCAGGGTGTGTTCCAACTACAGGGGGATCACACTCCTGAGCTTTCCTGGTAAGGTCTATTCAGGGGTTCTGGAGAGGAGGGTCCATCAGATTGTTGAACCTCAGATTCAGGAGGAGCAATGTGGTTTTCGTCCTGGCCGTGGAACACTGGACCAGCTCTGTGTCCTTAGGGGGATCCTGGATGGTGTGTGGGAATTTGCCCAACCAGTCTACATGTGTTTCGTGGATTTGGAGAAGGTGTTTGACCGCGTCCCTCGGGAGGCCCTGTGGGAGGTACTCCGGGAGTATGGAGTACCAGGCCCTCTGATACAGGCCGTTAGGTCCCTGTATGACCGGTGTCAGAGCTTGGTCCGCATTGCCAGCAGTAAGTCGGGCTCGTTCCCAGTGAGAGTTGGACTCCGCCAAGGCTGCCCTTTGTCACCGAATCTGTTCATATCCTTTATGGACAGGATTTCTAGGCACAACCAAGGCGTGGAGGGCATCCGTTTTGGTGGCCTGAGGATCAGGTCTCTGCTTTTTGCAGATGATGTGGTCCTGTTGGCTTCATCAGAATGTGATCTTCAGCTTTCGCTGGAGAGATTCACAGCCGAGTGTGAAGCAGCTGGGATGAGAATCAGCTCCTCTAAATCTGAGACCATGGTCTTGATTCGGAAAAGAGTAGAATGCCTTCTCCGGGTCAGGGATGAGGTCCTGCCCCAAGTGGAGGAGTTTAAGTATCTCGGGGTCTTGTTCACGAGTGAGGGAAAACTGGAGCATGAGATCGATAGGCGGATTGGTGCTGCATATGCAGTGATGCAGGCGTTGTACCGGTCTGTCGTGGTGAAGAGAGAGCTGAGTCAGAAGGTGAAGCTCTCGATTTACCGGTCGATCTACGTTCCTACCCTCACCTATGGTCATGAACTTTGGGTAGTGACCGAAAGAACAAGATCGCGGACACAAGCGACCAAAATGAGTTTTGTCTGAAGAGTGGCTGGGCTCTCCCTTAGAGATAGGATAAGAAGCTCGGTCATTCGGGAGGGGCTCGGAGTAGACCCGCTGCTCCTCCACATCGAGAGGAGCCAGTTGAGGTGGCTCGGGCATCTGGTCAGGATGCGTACTGGACGCCTCCCTGGTGAGGTTTTCCGGGCACGTCCAACCAGAAGGAGACCTAAAGGTAGACCCAGGACACGGTGGAGGGACTATGTCTCTCACCTGGCCAGGGAACGCCTTGGGATTCCCCCGGAGGAGCTGGCCCAAGTGGCTGGGTAGAGGGAAGTCTGGGCCTCTCAACTTAAACTGTTGTCCCCACGAATCGACTCCGGATGAGCGGATGAAAATGGATGGATGGATGGATAATTTTTGTCTTGCTCATTAGCCAAGATTAATCAAAATGCACAAACCTAAAATGCAGAACAAGAGTTTAACTATTCATTCTTTATGTATTTTTGACATTTACAACTTTTTTGTTGACATTTGGTTTAAATAACTCGCTTTAAGCTCATTTGGTTCGCTAGCAACAAAATGTTTTTCGCTAAGTATCAGCTAGCCCAATGAATGCACCCAAACACTCTAAATTCTCTTGTCAGCAGGACGTTTCTGGCCTTATTCAGCACTCATCCACGTAACTAAAGTTCCCCACAATACTCAACTTGTCAGTAGTAACTGAGAGCTCTTATCTGACTTCTCCTGCTCCAACAAGATGCTAGTTGTTAGCTAATCAACATTCTATCTCCACTGTGGATAGCGGATGGGATGCCAGAAGGGCTACACACCGCGCCTGCTGTGTGTGACGGCGGATTGTCCCGGTTTCACTCCGGTCCTCTCACTACTGTAAATTCCGGAGACATGCTTGTTATCCACTTAAGGGGATCTGATTAGATTTGAGCACTAATGGTTGTTCAGTCACCAAGGTTGGTTTTGACAATGATGTGCCTGTGCATGTGTGAATTAGAAATGATGAGCGCCCGCCACGCATTCAGACAGGAACGGGATGAGAATCTAATCTGTCAAAATTGAAGTTTGGAGTTCTTCAGACTGTTCGTTTTTGTTTGTTTTTTCTCGAAGATGCACCAGCACCTGCTGCAACAATCGAGTCTGTGTTTAAGATTACTGGCAGAGAGCAGGTCACAGGTTCAACATCTGTTTACAAACCATCCCAATTATATGCCATCTAATAGGAAATAAGGCATTCCACTTGATTTTGACTGCACAAATAGCTTAATTTTAGAAGAAGTGAGGAAATTATTTTAGCACAGTTTGATTTGCTATATTTCATGATTAAGAAACTAAAATATTTTCCACTTTGAAACAGCAGACTCCTCTTTACGTTCAGATAAATTATCTAAACTCGCCCGATTTCAGGAAATCCGCTGAATCGTTCTAACTTAACTAAAATAAAGATGTCAGGACCAGATCTATTTCAACATGCACCCTGTTTTCATTACACTCCTAAAGGTTTTTGCACGTATTCTCCAGGTTAAACAAACCTAGCACATCTGTGAAATCAAATCACAAGAGTAAAACAGCAGCAAGAACATATATCTCAGCATTTCCCCCTGATAACAGACATACTCTACATTATCTGTAATCTTAGCATATATTTTTGATTTACCTTTAATTTTGGTGTGTATTTAAGATGTGTTCTTTACCTCGCTGTTAAAAATACAAATTTCTTTAGTCCGCTCTGAAATGCTGCGTTCACCGAGCCACTCAAACAGCTGCTTGTTCTAAATGAGATTACCAAATTCAGTTTCAGTCTTACCCAAGTTCTCCTTTCACTTCAGAAAAATCTGATAACTTATGAAACCCCAGATGATGGTGACACTGGTTAGCTGTACAAATCATGGACAAACCAAGGAGGAGGCTTGGATTCATTTCTGCTAAACGCTTACAGACGATTGGGAAAAGATGAAGAGGCGATACGTGTGGATCTTCCTGATCAATGGAAGTAGGAGGCAAGTGGAACGAAAAGCGTCATCAGTAATGGTTACTGTGTTTTTGCTGAGCCTGCTAACCAGGAAACGTCTGTAACCACAAACTAGATTGTGAAATAAGTGGGAAGATAAGACTGCGATATAAAACTGGTCACAAAAAAAATTTGCATTCCACAGTGACTTTTCAGTTTAAGCACAAATAAGATTCACTGCAATCAAACACCTGCACAAAAAACGCTTCCCTACATGCATCTTTCCCCAACCTCCTGGACTGGATCAAAATCCCTTCCCTTCTGTCCTACCTGCCGAAGTTGGACCTCTGTCAAGGTGAACACTTTAACCACACAACAGCGGCTCATGGCAGCGCCTCAGAAGAACTACCATCACCACCACCGCTGTCTCACAGTGAGACATGAGGACCAGAAGAGGAAGAAAAAGAGAGGTGCAGCAGTCTCCTTCCTAAGTTTTTTTCTCTTTTTTGCGGAAATATCAGAAAGGAAGGCATGACGCATCCTGGTTTTTTTTTTTGGGAGCCACACGGGCCTCTTCCTGTGCAAGTGTTCATATGTGTATGCTTTTTGGTTTTAAAAAGGCCTGACTGAGACAAAACCTCTGGCTGGAAGCTTGAAGCTGACAGAAAGTGAGTTCCTGCTTGTGGATCGCTTTGCCTTCCTGCCTGCAGAAGATCCAGTCCAGCTCAGCACATTCTCCCAGGTTATCTTAACTTACTTCAGAGGCCTAGTCTACCATCACAACTCAGAAAATGCAAAGAAACTTTTACGTGTCTGCAGAAATCCACATGTATGAGTATGTCTCATTTTAACATTTACATGTAAGTGATGCTTGGCAACTTTTTCATATTTTTAAATCTTTTTTTTTTTTTTTTTTGCTTTTTTTTTGACACATTGTGTGCAAAAATAACTTTACAGCAAGGGTCCTCAACTAAATGTGTTCAAGGGCCAGAGTTTTTACCTGCAGGCACTGTGAAGGCCAGATGCTCTTCTAAAATAAAGTTAATA